AGATAGGCTCCTCCCACCGGAAACAGGAAACACATCACCCACACCTAGAAAATGATTTGGGTCGGTGTCTGTCTGAGAATTTCTTGGTTGAACTTTTCTAATTGCCCTTATACTCTGTGTATCTTGCACTGTAATAGCTGTCAATCTACCTTTTCCTAAACAGTCACTCACTGAGTTTTCTGTGCTTGTTTCTTCTTTGCTGTCATTCATGCCGTGGCTTCAGTATTGTATGTTCCGCCACATTCCAGATTTCACCATTCACAAGAATTGTTGTTGTGATTATTGTAATTTCCTACTTAGCGGTTCAGTTCATTTCAGTAAACTAGAAGTTTACTTGCTTGTGGGAAGTGAGAACCTCTTGCTGATTTGGTTTCTGTAGCAGGGCTGGACTGTGCCCTCTTCTTGTATCGCTTTGAATGTAGGGGTACGGGGCTTTTGCATTTCAGTTCGGAATCCTGTTTTGGGATTGATTTGGCTTGGGTTTGTGTTGATGGGAAAATGTAATTTGCTTTCAGAGATCAGTTTTATGCATTGCAAAAAACGAGCATGTAATTATATGCCTTTGTGTGTTTTTATGGCAGTGGTCCCCAACCCCCGGGCTGCGGACCGGTGCCGGTGGATCAAATGGTACCGGGCCACCCAAGGAAAATTAAATTATTTCCATTTTATTTACTGTGGTGTATTTCTCTCGGGTTTGTCCGACTTTCCAGGACGAGAGGTTAACCGGGAGCTGAGAGACGTCACCTAAAGCCGCACCAATACCGCGCATGCGCAAAATATCGTGATATCGGGGCGGTTTTAGGTGACGTCTGGAGCTGAGTGGCAGTGGCGTTGTAGCTTTGGTAAAGAGAAGGTGTGTATCGCTCTTCTCTCTGTTCACCGGTACTTTCTCATGTTTAACAGTGCTTGGTGTGCGTGTATATTGTGTTTGCTCAAATTTAACCCACAAATTAGCAAAAATGAGTACGAAACAGACGTCGTTAGAAAGTTTCCTTGGGAAAAAGAAAAGGCGCAGTGAAGAGACAGAAGAAGGGCCTTCAGCATCAAAGAAACATGTAACTTTTAACAGACAATACCATGAGTCCTACTCGAAATATGGATTTATCAGGACAGGTGATTCCCAAACACCAAAACCGCTCTGCATAGTTTGCAGCGACCAGCTCTCTATTGAGGCAATGAAACCTTCAAAACTGAGCTTGTATAAAAAATATAAACAATCAAATTCCCCCCTCAGCGGGCCGCGGTAAAATAATCAAACGTTGACCGGTCCACGGCGATAAAAAGGTTGGGGAGCACTGTTTTATAGGACAGTTCCAAGAACGCGTTCACACCATAGCGTTGCACTAAATGCATGGTATCTGTGTGTTTGATGCACTATCGCACAGCACACCTAGCGTACGACACTGTATGCTAGGTGCGTTGCATTGCTATTGCCACTTCCCAGCAGCCCAACCAACTGTAACGCAGTACCCTGCGTTGCAGTGGGGAATATGCATGCGCTACTTTTTTTTAAATCACAATGCACGTACTGTAGTACCACGCACTGCAGTGTAATGCATGACCACTAGGAGGTGTGTTGAGGTGTCATTCAGATGAAATGCAATGTAAAACCTAGCACACGGCACTGCAGTGGCGTCACAATGGGGTGCGGCCCGCACCTGGGTGACACCAAAATGACTGACAGTCATTTTGGTGTCACCCCCCTCTGAAAAGTTGGGCACTCGATCATGGACCGAGGGCCCAACAGTTGCTTGCGAGAGAGGAGGGGACCTGGCGGCATACCGTATTCCGCCGCATGCGCGATGATGTCACGGCAGGGTGTCACCCGGTATCTGCTCCGGGTGACACCCGGCCTCGTGACGCCCTTGCGGTACCACACACTAGGTGCGCTCTGCACTAACTGCGTGGATATCGTGGCAATAGCGCAAAGCTAATGCATGAACAGCTCCCAAGGCAAACAAATGCATGCAGTGATTTTTAAATGGTATAATGCACAATGTGCGTTTCCTTGAGTTCAGGTACCTTCAGTTTAGCTGTGTTTAGGAAAATTACTGTAGAAATCTGTGCGTCCAGGGATGGGTTGGATACTCTGAGCATGTCTAAACGCATGTACATCTTAAACACTGGAGGAAGGACTCTGGGAAATATAAAGTTTGTTTGTACTTCCCAGATCAATTTCTTCTGTGATTTAAATAAGAACACAGGAAGCTGATGTGACTGAAGGATTAAAGTTCATTGACAGACGTACAGATGACCGATTTTGACCTGCATTTGATCTTCTAAGCTGCATCAATTTACTGCTTTTATGTTCCCAATGGCTGTTTTTAGGAGAAAAGCAATTTCTGTTGTAAACAAAAGCCCATCCACTGCAGCCCTGGCACTCTTTACAGAGGAAATGAGAACAATTTGTTGTGGTAAGACACACTGACGGCCAGACAAATCCCCTTTTTACAGCCACTGTTGCTCACATAGACTTTTAAAGTGAAAGTGGACAGTGAGTCTGAACTTTGCTGTGTTCAAGCAGTACAACCTCTGGTAAAGTCTGCAGCATTCAACACCTTTAGGAGCGTCTGATGTCCTTTTACTGCATGCCGTGGTTCCTCCTGCCAGCTCCTATGGCACCACTGAGTTCTGTAGTGTTATAAGGGCCAGGAGGAGAATGCATGGTGCATAGCAGTTGCACCATATAAGACAAAACGATGCCAAGGGCTGACTCCTCCCATAAGGTTGTATCCATTACTTTTATTAGGAATCGCCTTGTGCATAGAGCCCCCATTATTATTTGTAACCTGAACTCTGGCCTATTACCCCTCAATTCCTGGTCTTTTTGAATACAGAATAAAAAAGACATGGCTTTTTTAACTTCACACTTTTAGCTGGTTTGATGATGTCACCGGTACTTCCTGTTCTTCCTCTGGCAGACGTGGGGTGCAGGCACTCTTCCAATACTGAGCGACGCTTACATAATGACGTTTGAGTTTTGCTCAGTACTGGAGCCCAGGCTGTGTGATGACAAGCCCCCTAGGGGACCATGTAAAAGACAGTCTGGGCTCACATGAAATCGGCACAATGATGACTGTTCTACCCTAAGAGGACTGCTGGCACTGGACTGAGGAGGAAGTCGGGGACAGCGCTGAGATAAAGAGAGGGTAAGTAGAACTTTGGAACATTTTTATTGATTTTACAGTAGGGGGTTGGGGATCCATAGCAGAAAAATATTTTTTCATTGAAGTTCTACTTTTAATGTGACAGATGACATTAACTAGACTACAACACTGTTCTGATACGTGCTGATGAAAATCCAACAGATTTGAGCTGCGCTTCTGACAGTTGGGTTGATGTTTGGTAAATGTCCTTAGGCCCATGACAGACTAATGATCATGTTGCTGACAGGATCTCTAAACTGTGCAGTGAAAACACTCATCTTCTTGCACGTGCCAGTCCCTCGCCGGCCGGAGGTGTCCCTCCTTTGATAATTCTGCAGACTGTAATGACGAGGGAGAGAGTGATGGCTCTCGCCTCCAGTCGGTAATGGAGCAACACACTGAAGAAGATGCGTATTTCATTGCCCTGCTGTGTCCTACGTAGTGATCCTGCTGCTGGTGAGTTGTCAGGATCACTAATCTGACCTGGCTTTTCTGCTCAGGGTTTGTTGACACCATCTCAGGACCAGAGTGTTTTTGTCCGCACATAAAATGCATTCCAATGGTATTTCTGGGCTCTGTTCACACCAGTGCAGTCAGTTCTGGTACAGGAGAAAAAAAATGCTGCATGCACTATTTTGTTCTGGTCCGGAATGCTCCAAAATGCATGTAAACAAATCAAAAATGCATGCAAACACACTGGACCACACCTGAAAGCCTATTTTAAGCTTAAAAAACCAAAACCGAACGCATTTGAAATGCATCCAGATCTGGTCTGGAGATGGTGTGAACAAGCCCTTAAAGATTTTCAGCTATTTTACTCCTGTTAGCTGCTCATTCCCTTATTGAAAATGATTCACTAGTAACATATAGTTGAAGATATTTAATGTGATGAACATAAAGCAATGTACACATCAAACATCAGGCAGGTTATTCCCTTTTATACAATGCTACTTTTTCTGGCTGAGTCTCAGCAGATTACTATGAAGGTATCTCTCCAAATAGAAAATAAAAGGCACTTAGGCTTTCTAATAGTCTGTTAATGGGTTTCTAATTTACCTCCCAGGTGAGACACCAAGAACCAGTACAGAGTAGGTAAATGCTCATTAATAATGATGATACAGAAGTTCTATCATCCCCTGTAATATTTGCTGTACTGAATTTATGGTACCATCTAAAGTCTCCAGTGTTATAGTCTAAACAATGCCCAAATCCAGTTAGTATGTGATACTCAAACCTCATAAAACTAAAAAGAAAAAACTTCCTGTACCTTTCCTGACTGAGCCAAATCCTCCATTTGTGTCTCACACTCCCCCTCCCAGACACTGCAGCTCCCAGTTGGAGGGTTTCAGCAGCAGAGGCAGTGCTATTAATACAGAAAGCAGTGGTCAGGGCTAGGTGTTGCCAGCTGATGACTGTCCAGTGCGGATAGCTATGATCCCTTCAGCATTGTCTCATCCCACTGTAGTACAAACAGGGACCGCATATGTGATGGAGACAATGCTGCTCTGTATCCAGGAGCAGTGCAGCAGCATAGTCGTCTCCTCCTCATCGCAGCAAGCCGTGGGAGGTGAACCACACCTTAGGATAAATGTGTTTGTGACATAGGAGCTAAGGAAAACTACAAATGCACTTACAATTAAATAGGAGGTCTGCAAAGTTCATAAATAGAGCAGATTATGGCGTCCATTGTGTACAGTATTGTCATTGTTATGCTGGTGATTTT